GGAAAGGAAAGGAAAGGAAAGGAAAGGAAAGGAAAGGAAAGGAAAGGAAAGGAAAGGAAAGAAAGAAAGGAGAAAGGAAAGGAAAGGAAAGGAAGGAAGGAAGGAAGGAAGAAAGAAAGAAAGAAAGAAAGAAAAAAGAAACCTAGGAGGTTGTTTTAAAGCTTCATTCATCTTTCTCAAAGTCCCTCCTCTCCATACTGGAGCCAGTAGATTTTTCCATCAGATTCCTGGGTTCTACCCCAGAACCAGTGAGTCAGACTGCCCGGGAGGGATACAGCCAGGAGCCTGAATTTTAAACATGCATTCCCCAAGCTTTTAGGCCTGCTGCTAAAAGACTGGCTACCATCTTGCTCCTCTGAGTGGTCCCTGAACCAGCATCATCAGCTTCACCTGGGAACTCATTAGAAATGCAGTCTCAGGCCCCATTCAAAGCTTGTCAATAAGACCCCTAGAGTGACCCCCACTTCGTAAAGCACTGCTCTATCACACTTGGTTCAATCGCAATCAACTTTCAGGTCCTTCCAGACCTCTCCAACCTCCTAAACGATCCTCCTAAAAAACTTTCAGTCCAGGAACAAGCTTTTCATTTCACAATAAGGGACAGGCTCAAAGTATCAAGGTCTTCCTGACAGAAGGTCGGGGGGCGGGGGAGAAGGTTTCCACGGGTGAATCAAGGCAGACCTTTCACCAGTAACGTTGCTTGGTGAGCAACAGGGACCAAGAGGCACAACAGGATGGAGCATTTAAAGAAGAGATTGTTCTTGAGGGAAAAGCAGGAAGGGAGTAGGGACCTGGGACAGAAACTGGGTCCAGCCCTGCCATACCTGGGGGTTTTCATGCTATGTGGCTGCAGGGGACTCAGCTTCTGGGTAGACAGTTTGGGGAGGTTGCTTTTTTCCCAGTAGATTTCCCAAAGGATTTAACCCTGGTGCCTGGGGTTTTGTTAACCTTGGGCAAAGTCAGAGACTCTGATGTTCATGGCTAAAACGACTCCTTTAATGAACTTATTTACATAAATTTTTACTTTTATATTTTTTATAGAAAAGCATCCTTGAAGTTGTGAAGTATAAAAGAACAAGAACAACAACAAAAAACTAAATAAAAGAACAAGAACAACAACAAAAAACTAAATAGAAAGTTACTCAAATATATAAAGTACACAAAGAGCAAAAATCTCATCTCTTAATAAAAAAATAATTTTAACAATCAATATGGGAAACTATTTCCTACATACCTACTACAGACAGAGAACCACTTCTGTAAAGGAGAGCAAAATTGGAACATTATTGGCTTCATGGAACCAACTGAAGATGCTTTTGATGCTCAGGTCAATTTTACTTATGGACAGAGTCCTGGTTTTATACACCAGGAGAATCGATGTTTAAAGAGGACTTTGATGTGAAGTGCAGACACCCTTTTACAAAATAGTAAAGCCCCATCCTTCCTGTAGTTTCTCTTCTTCTGGTACCTAGATTTTTACATACTGCATTTGCCTAAAGTAAGACACACCTTTTTCAGGGCTGGTCTGGAAAAGCCACTTTATTGTGGGTTCTCTTCCTCCTGTGTTGATCATCTGTCCTTATGCCCTCTCTCTCCCCAAAGCTTGCAGAAATTGATTTTAGCCAAGCAGGCAAGCTGAAATCCCGTTACCACCGACAGTAGCCTTGAGACAGCACCCCTCCCGGCCGGTGTGAGAGAAGCTGAGGGGAGGGTGGGATATGGGAGCGGGTTACCTGCTCTGTGTGTTCATATTACCTGCTAGGTACTCGATGACTGCTGCCATGTATACGGGAGCACCCACGCTGATCCGGTACTTGAATGTCCCTTTCTTCAGGTAACGCATCAGTCTCCCCACTGGGAAGATGACACCAGCCCTGGCTGAACGGGACAGCTTAGACATTTTCTTCTTCCCGCTCCGGCCCGACATCTTGCCTCAGTTTCCCTCTCAGCTTGCTTACACAGTGACCTCCCAACACTACACAATGCTGAAAAGGAAAGAAGGCAGGTTGAGAAACAATGGCTGGCAAACATTTTAGGAACAGTGGTGTGGCCCCAGAGCACCATGTGACACGCCTGATAGCCCCATGGAGGCAGCTGAGACCTGGTTGCCACCGCAGGGAACAGCAGGCAGGGAGCTGGGCATGGAGTCTTTGCAGGCCAACCGGCAGGCCCACCCACAAAATGTCCTCACCCCATCAAGCCAGCCCAACCTCAACAGCAGAAACCAAATAAATTGTCACTAGAGGGAGAAGTCATGTTCTGTAGTCAGCTGAATAATGGCTTCCAAAATGTCCACTTCATTATCCCCAGAGCCATTTGTGAATGTGTTTCCTTATATGGCAAAGGGGACTCTGCAGATGTGATTAAGTTCAGGATCCTAAGATGGGGAGATTATCCAGGATTATCAGAGTGGGCCTAATGTAATTGCAAAGGTCCTTTTGAGAGGGAGGCAGGAGATGAGAGTGAGTAAGTGACATGACTGAAGGAAATGAATTCTCCCCTCAGAGCCTCCAGAAGGAACTAGTCCTGCTGACACTTTCATTTCAGCCCAGTGAAGCTGATTTTGGACTTCTGACCTCCAGACTGTAAGACAGAATAAATTGGGGGATAATTTGTTACAGCAGCAATAAGAAAACTAACACAATTCCTCTTTTCTCTGATTTGCTTCTGCCTATTTTAATCCATAGTACTTAGTTATTATGGCCACGCCTATTATAATGTTAGCTTTCCCCAACAGCTCACAACTGATGTGCTCGTCTTACGTAGAAACACTTTTCTAAATTTCCAATAATGCAGCATCCTTAAAAACAGAAACATGCCAGGAGACAATTTTATTGAATATGCTAATGCAGAGTAACCAAACATATCCAATCAAAAGCTAGGATGTGACCCAAGCTTCTGCTCCTTTGAATAAGGAATTCAGGTTGATTTGGGGGAGAAACTTCAGAATCAACCCAAAGAGGTGACATCAGTACAATGCACTGAGACACATGTATATATCATTGTTGTTTCAGGAAGCTATTTTCTGTGTGAAGATAACATAATTATATACTTCTGAAAAAGTCTCTGTAAAGGCTCTGCAAGGCTTCTGAGAATTGTAATGGAGCTTAACCTGTTGGTTGAGGGAGTATTGTGACCAAAGAATGGAATAGAATTCAGAATAAATAAAAGCAAAGTGCAAAGGGCAAACAAGCAGGAGGACCAAATAAAGGAACCAGAAAATTTCTAGGAAATGTGTTAATGAATGAAGGCTCTCTGCCCCAAAGGCAACATGATTCTCAGTGGCCATTTTGGAGATGGAAAATAAACTGAAATTGGTTCTCTCTGTTAAGGTAGCCATCTCAAATTTTGGCTAGGTCAACTTACCAACAGTCAAGATGGCAATGAAAAGGCCGAAGAAAGTGGCTAAAAATATGATGGAAGAAAGTGAGAAATGAATGCATGGCTAATATGAAAGATACAAAACTGGGATTTATTTAATCTGGAGGGGAAAACGAACATAGAGTTCAATTTTCCAAAGTATCTGATTACTCTGTTATGACTGGGTTTAATATAAACCTATGGAATTAACAACAAACCTCATTCTCAAAGCCCTCTATCTCCTTGGTGAAGGATGTGAGTTTGAAGCATTTTATAACATCTTCACATAAATTAATTTTAAATGCTTACACATATTTACTATGCTTCCATTTTATGTATCGTTTTGCCACTAACAGATGTAGATATTCATCAAAGTTAAGTACAAGTAAAGATGAGCAAATAGCCTTAGAATATTACCTCTTTCGCAGTGAGGCATAGGGATAAAACAATATCGCCATTTTTAGAACTTTGTATTTTCTGTGCTTCTGCTGTCTGAGGCTGCTAATTCTCATAAATCCACTTATAGAAGTCCTCTCTTGGGGGACGCACACAACTTCATATTAGGATTATGACCATCAATTTATAGTAAAGAAACTTAGGCTCATCATCAGTCAATGTCCTGAGTACCCGTTGTTGGTCATCACTGTCCCAGGAACAGGGGATACATAAAGCAATGTGAAATGGTCCTTATCCTCAGCGAGAGCTACATGGCACATGTTTGCGAGCTGGTTAGCGTTCAAAATAGAAGTAAGTGGCTCCTGGTTTAGTAGAAAGAGTCCAGGACAGAGAACAGGAAGCCCTGGGTGTGGCCTCACTTCTACATAACTAGCTATGTGAGCTCTGGGTGTCACTGGTGTGGGGCTCATCTGTAAAACAGGGAAGTGACTAATTGATCTTAAAGGCCTTTCTGGTCTTAAACATTCCAATTTTTTCAACTTTCAAATGGTTCTAGAAAAGAAGTTTAGTCCCTTTAAGAAATGAGTTTAAAGCGTTAACAGCCTATGCAGGTTCATAAAGAGGTATTAGTATTGGTGACTCCACTAAGCCAATTATGTGCTTTTTTCAGTTACTGGTAAGTGGAGGGAGGAGGGAGGATTAATAGATCTGGTTGCCAAGGAAACCACCTAAAAAGCCCATCACAGAGTGGACATGCCTAGTGGATATGATGCATGCTGGATGGTCACAATCTCTCTTACCAACAGAGAGAACCATGCACACAGCACAGAAGACATAGGACCCCTCATTCCCCTCTCCCAATTTCCTCAAACGAAAATAGCCAGAGAATGAGTGGGTGTGCGGAATAAAGCTACCTAGAGACTTTCCCAAAGTCAGCCAAAAGGAGTCACAAATTTCCCTAAAAATTGGAAATTAGGACCAGCAGTAGAAGAAAAACTGGTGGCTTCAGGAGATCAATGCCTAAAACACTCATGAAGATAAAATAGTCAAGTAAGGAAAACCAGGGTTAGATCAAATAGAGAAACATGCCAGCTAATTATAAAATGTAAGGATCGCCCCAAATAGCATTCTGTAACAACTTTCTTTGGCTTCCAGACTTTCCTCTAGGTTAGGGCCTTAGACAGAGCTGAAGATGGAGCTCCATTTGAAGTCTAAGTGTGACACTGACTATTACTACTGTATGTGCTTTAACAGGGCTGGAGAGCTCTTTGTATCTGGGGAGCTCATCTTTTCAAACCCTGTGCTGCGTTTAAGCATCTAGGTACCTAACTCCTGGCCTCAAGGGCTAGGACGCCCCTGTATATTGTAAGAACCAGACCTAGGGAAGCAGGGAGAAGGCTGATGGCCCTCGCATATCCCACCTACTGTAACTCACAGATGGCAGGAAGAGCTGTGCCTCCTCACCTCCTGGAACCATGTGAGAGAAGACCCTGCTTTCTAAAGGCCGCCCTTGCCCCCGAGCCTGTGCCAGACTCTGCCTGCAGTTGTAGGAATTATAACTCCTGGCTTCCCTCTTTTCCATGCCACCCTTTCCCCTGACTCTATCCATTCTTGAGAAGTCAAGAGATAAAAACTTGAAGTTTTTATCTACTTCCTGTGAATCTGAATGTGTGTAGGGCTACTCATGTAAAGAGAAAAGAACTACTGCAATGTGAAATATGTTTCCATCAGACTAACATTTAAATGTTTACATTTATTTACCTTCTGCTATAAAACAAATTTTGCTCTAATTAAGTAAAGCTTAAGGATTCTAGTACATTATGTCTGTTCACACGTTTGAAGAAATAATATGGGCTTCCAGTGGTTATAGGCACTATGTGGAGGTCACATGGCCATCCTCATGTGGCCCTATCCTCCAGGAGTCTCTAGGGTTCTTAAGAGGAATTGGGAACCGGATCAGACACAACCTAGATCTGCAACATACCTGTCCTTTCATATCTGAAGGACCAAAAATAACCAAGGTATATGCTATAGGTATAAAGGTATAAAGACCAAGGTATAAAGTCTTGTAATTACTTGCAAAGTGAATGGGAGTTTTAATCATGTTAACGGTAAGGGACAGGAAAATAAAACTCAAAACTCAGGGGAGGGGGAAGGAGGTGTTGCCTGCTCATTCCCTTTTACCTCCAGGAGCACAGCAGTTGGAAAAACAAAACTGGCTTTGTGTGTGCTGAGGAAGAGGGCATATTTGAACCCCACTGTTTTAGGACTTATTTCTATGGTCGGGTTTTAAGCCCATAAAGTTTGATTTTACAGATATCACAAGGGTAAATATTAAATTGCAGCATTGACTCAGACATAGACAATAAATTCACACCAGCCTATTCAAATAACTGCAGATTCATTGATTTTATGATACTCTTTTAAAAAAACATTAGCTTTAGAAATCAGCATGCATCTTGCAATCTTTGACATCATAGATTCAATGAAAGACAGTATTAATGGAGCACTTATTATTGAACAAGAAACTACATTAGATAGTGTGGGAAATATATGGCCATTGTCCTCAATAAAGTTTCATGACAAACCATAATAAAATTTCAAATAGAAGTTAGAGACGTGGTTCCCAAACTGTGATTCAAGGCACCCTGGGATACATCAGTGAACGTTTAAGCTTTCGAAAAAATACGATACTCAAACTCTGCTGGACCCCACAACTACCATCTCATTCCACATAGTGGTTCTACTAGTGGTTCATAGTAGTTTGCACTATCTTAATTTTGATGATTCCATATCTTTGCAAAGCAGAGGTTTTGGCTGTTGCTTTGATTAAAAGCAAGTGCTGAGTGAAAATCAATGTGGAACAGAAAATGAGTGCCAATGTCTAATCTGATCCTAAGGTTTGAGAAATTGTACAGTGCCCAACAGGTACACACATCCTATTTGTAATTCATCATGGTTATTTAAGAATGGGATAAATTTTTTTTCTAAGTCCTGTGCTAATTATTTTTCAAACATCTGTTAAATTGTTAGGACATAAGCATTTATTAAGTTGTGTGGACTTAACTACTTATTAATGTAGTGGACAGCCATTTCTTCTGGCTGAGGGGCTCCGAGAAAAAATGACTGAGACACTTAAGTTCTCTGTGACCTGAGAAAGTTTGGGAACTTCTCTGCTATGGCCTACTGTAGAGCCCACCAACAAGCTAAAATGTGTAATTATGACTTG